TAGGTCATTTTGAAAGCTGGTCATTGGGAAAGTTGTAACTTAAAATGAATTTAAAATAAAATTAATTTAAAGCTTTGAAAATCAAGCTTATGGTTTTTAAAATAGAAAAAAAGATCTTGTGCTTTTGTTCTAATTCTAATGGGTAGAAGTTAATGATTTCAGTACTATTTTAAAGGGAGAAAAATAAATTCCACATACCACCCCAAACAAATTTGTAATTAAACTATAAATTTGGATAAATGAGGTCAAATTAATACACTAGAATATGGACCAGAGTGATATTTCAAAGTCAGAAGTGACAATACTTTATCCCAGTATTTTCCACCATATAAAGAAATAATTTTGCTCAAAATTATAGAAGGACGATTTTGGGAAAATGCAGTTTAAAAATTAGTTCGTATCTTTTCCTTAGTCCACATTAATATCCTTAGGTACTTAAATCCATGCCACATCTCAAATTTAAGTTGAAGTTATTTTGTTAGCATGTCTACCTTTTCTTTCCTAAGAGTTATGAAACATCCTGATGACAGGTGATGACACAGTTATTGTCTGAGCAATATGGGAATCAAAATAAAGCTATTAACAGTGTTAATATTCTGTAGACTAAATCACATGAAACAGTTTTACCTAGTAATATAAAGGAATAGCTGCCCATATCAATTTCTAAAACATTACAACCAGGATTATGCTAAATATATAATCTACAATCAAGGCATATTATTCCACACTACGATTAAGATATAGTAAAAGAAAGACCACTTTTTGAAATTGGTGCTGAAAATAGAAACTGTCATAACAAGCTTCTTCCAAAGAACTCTCCTTGGATTATTATTTACCTTGAATCCCTACCTGCCATTTTCTTGACTGTCAATTTAATAAATTTGAACAAAAGAGTGGTAAGCTAGCCAAACCCACAATCACCATTCCTCAAGCATCTTCCGGGTTACACATACTTTACTTGCTATAATCTTTCATTGGAAATTCTTAGAAGAGAAATGGAGCTCTATCTAACCCAGACCGTTTTATTTTCTGAAATATATGTGTGCTATTTATATAGTGTCCTTAAATAACAACATAAATGTCCTGAAAGGGAGAGGTTGAGAAATTGGATTAAGAAGTCTAAGAATTTAAAAATTTTAAGTGTTACCAACTTGAGAAACAAACCCAAATTTGACAATAAAGTGTCAGAACAAAAACAATATGATGACTAACAAACATTCAATTAGCCTGTGTGATACCTTTCAAATGTATCATGCATCTATACTTAAAATTACAATGATGTCATAGGGGCTGTAGTAAAATGTCCTTTCACTACATGGTTGTTCTAAGATAGTATTTACTTGTTACACAGTAGCTACACAATATATTTAGGCAGCAATCACAATGTCACAGTACAGTCTCATCTTTCTGATAACATCCTACTACCATTACATTTTATTACAATATGGCCATTAAATTAGTTTTGTCATAATCTGAGTAAAATATTATAATAGAATAAAAATATAGTTTAAATTGCTTATACTTGTGTGTATACATATTAGTAGCCAAATATCTCACTTTCCAAATCATATAAAATAAATCTGAAGTGTTTGCTCTCAGGACCACACAAAACAGAAAATCAAAATACAAAAATGTCATTAATAAACTAACAACAATAGAAATACTTCTAGAGAAATTATTATTACAAATGTAGTATTCCTATTATTCCAACTGTTCAACTTCTGTGCATTTTGAGAATGAATTGCATCAATGTAAAATATATTTGAAAATATCCAAAAACTTATAGTTTCAATCATCCTAATGAACATGAATTTTTGCATAAGCTTGTATTTTAGCATAAGCTTGAATCCTAGGGTTCTCCACACCCCAAACAAATCTGGAATTTTTAAAAATTACTGTTCAAGTTTATATTTTTGTAGAAACACATGTGGAAGGTGCTTTGAGTTCTCTTTTTTGGTGGGTGCTTGAAGACTATAATTAAATCACTGTTAGATTCAATGAATGGTCAAAATTCCTTGAAAACAAGTCCTCAAAAATATGAGATAGCTATTAATTCAGAACACTACATTTGAACCCTACAGATCAGCTCACATTGTCGCAAGTTATGTGACTGTTTATATTACTCCTAAATTTGCTTTTAGAAGTATCACCTAAGTCCATCCTATGTGTTTCACAATCTCTTGTATGTTTTTTCCTGACAAATTATTTTTCTTTTAACAAAAAATTTATGAAGAAACTACTAAGTTCCAGGAAATTTGCTATGTACATTTTGTTACTTTAATGAGGAATTGAAGGCATGATGCCACATTTGTGGCCTTTTTATTTGGAGAATAATAGTCATCAAGTGAATGAAACTGCAAATTTCCATTGAATTAAAAAATATACATATAAAATGACTAGGAATAGCTTTGAAGCTTTAAGTTCAAATATAGGAGGCCACCAAGTGAGGCTCATAGGGAGACAATGTGAAATGAATAGTTGCTAACTATATATTTTGAAAATACTTAAATTTATATAGAAATACTTGGGATCCAGTTAGTACTCAAAATAACAGAATCGAGAAGCCATACTCTTTTTCATAAGTTGCTTGTCTGGTTATGTACTTCTGCACTAAATGTTTGAAAAGCTTACCTTGTGGGGTGAAGGGGAGGGGCGGATTATGGAAAATGTCAAGTAGCAAGATAAGCAAATGCAGGGGCAATATATTACATTACTGCACCAGATATAACAGACACATACAATGAAAGCAGTAATGAAGTTTAAATAGACCAATTTTAACAAGGCAGCATTCAGACAGAAATTAATCAATAAACTTTATTAACACAGCATATACGTCCTACCAGGCTAATGTGGTCAATACTTTCAACATAACACTTATTAAACAAGCATACTCTTCAGTAGGCTTTTCATGAAAACTTCCATAAATTATAAAGGAAAGTCTAGGAAACTGGACTTCTTCCCGTTAAGATGAGCATTAAATTAAAACCTACCGGTTGGTATTTAGCAGCAACCAACTCTGGGAAGCAAAATGTATATAGAAAAAAAAAGTTTTAAAATTGCACATATTTAATGCAAACAGGAATTGAACCATCAAATTACAAAAGATGGCTTTAACTACTGAGTCAACATACATCTTTCATAGACAGTCTTTTTAAAGCCAACCTGGTTTAAGATTTAAGGAAATAAGCAGCCTGGTGGTGAATGAGTGGGAAATACATTTTTCAGCATTTTTGAATAAAGCTCTTCTCTCACAAGGATAAAAACTTTGTACTTTAGTGCGAGCAGTGAGCTACTTGAGGATGGCAGAGAGAGGGGTGTACTCAGATACCATGAGGGAGTCCTAGCTGAAAGCCTAACCATTTTCCATATAGTAAAGCTTCTCTTTCACTAGGAAGCCTGTAGGGATCCCATCTTGATCTGCGAATGGGCTAATGGACAGAAGGCAAGAAGAGAGTAGGGGCATTAAAACGGGTTTGGTTAACAGCACTTAGAAATCTTGCATCCCTTCCTCCCCTCCCTCAAGCCAGGCTCTCCTTTCCACGTCTCTGAGGGGGAACACTTGAAGGCGGGGATCAAGGTGGCTCTCCCGACAGGCCCCCTCCCTGAGTTTTCCCTCCGGTGAGCCCGCATCCGTTCTGAACCGACCTAAGAGCTGGTCCAGGGCGGGGAGCCCGGTTGATACCAGCAGTTGTCCATTCCGCAACGACGGTCGCGTGCCCGCAATAGACACCAATCGAGGACCGCTGCTCTCAGTCCCACCGGCTTTAGGACCCCTCCTCTGGAAACTGGTGATGTTGCTCTTTCGGGCTGCCTCTGCCACAGACTTGGTACTCGCCGCGCCCGAGCCGCAGGTTGCCTCTGCCGCCATCTTGGAGGCTCGTGCGCTGACCCAATAGGAGCCCTGGGAACTCAGGCAGCCGGCCTGTCAGAGTCAGCGCCTAACTCCCGCCTCTTCGCTCCGACCGTCGCTCCTGTAGCCAATAAGACTGAGAGGTCCCTCACGAGCCAACCAATCGCAAGGCGTATTGCTGAAAAGTGAGCAGACGTAAGGACGGAGGACTTCTGCGGGACCCAGGTGAGAAAGGCCCACCTGAGTCTTGGGTGAGGGTCTCCCCGGGTTCTTTAGGGCCAGAGGTGGGTAATGTCATTCTCCTTTCTTCTGGTATTCCTTGCTTTCATTCACGTTGAGTTAAAGAAGAGATTGGTGAAGCAAGAAGCCCTAAGGGCTTAATCAAGCCACTGATTAAGCTGGAGTTTACGTCTACCTTTCTCGATAGTAAAAAGGGGAGATATTTTCCCCAAACCCTTTCTCTTCTGATTTCTAAAGGAAGATCCGTTCCGTTCCTCATGAGGCTTTTTTCTTAATGATTGTCTTATCTCGAAAGGATTGTAACTGTTAACGAGTTGCTTGCTGACCGTCTGGGGTTAGTTCTTTAGTACTTAGTAATAGTTGGGTTGCATGTTTGACTTTAGAGTGAAAAACTCTTGAACTTTGAGACGATTTTGTTTTCCTCTGTCTGATAAAATATACATCTTTGAGAAGTGCCCGCGAGAAGCTTTTGTTATTTTTAATTAGTGCTTCTGGAAATCTTGGAGCGTCTTTCTATAAGCGGTGTGAATGACAAGTGTTACTCTGACAACCTTGTTCACACATTTAATTGTAGTTTGCTGTTATAAAGCAGCTGCAGATAATAGAAAATACTTCAGTTCTCTTAAAAAAAAAACAACCCTGATATTAGATGTGTAGTTCTAGTAATTTGTGATCTCTAGTAATTTGTGAATCTTTCTTATTACAGTGTAAATTTTATCTGTAAAAAAAACATGTAATTTAGAGCTATGTTTTGGATTTAATTTTTTTTTTAATTTTCAAATCAGATATGGGGGTTTGGAGTGGGTGTTTTTAAAAGGCATTCATGATTGACAGATGGCCAAACTTTAAAAAGAACTCCAAAATCACACCTGTACCACTGGTTACTCTTAATTCTGACCAATGATCTATGATAACTTTTATGTGTTTTCTTTTACTTTGTTTTGAGGGTCAAGGATCTCTAACAAGTTGTCCAGGCTGACCTCCAGCTCTTGGGCTTAAGTGATTCTCCTGCCCTCAGCCTCCTAAGTAGATGGGACTTCAGGCTCTTACCACTTCATCTGACCAATGGTACCTTTTAAATACATCCAAACTTCACGGAAATACTTGCCTTTGAATTGTTTACATCTGGATGACCTGTTGAAACTTTTTTCCTCATTTTATTTGATAAATTGAATTTAGTATTGCTAAATAGGGACTGAAGTTTTTCATTTGCAGGATTTTTTTTTTTGTCTTTTCTTTTTTTTTAAATAACCAGATTTAGGGGAAAAAAGAAACCTCCTGGTGTTTAACATTATATTAAATCAGAAAGCTTTGGTCACAGATGCTTTTATTTCAAAACTTTCACCAGTACAGATCTTTAGTCTAAATTTCTCAGTCACTGAATGATTACTGTCTACTTAAACCTAATCTTGCCATTCCAGACTATAGTGATAAGAATGGTCTCATCTTGGGATGGGGTGGGGTTAAGATTGAAGCATAGACACAGCATCGCTCTTAAAAAGAACATATTAAGTAGTTTGTGCTAATTTTGTGTTGTAGTATATAAGTAATAGGGAAACCAAAAGAAAAGTGACAAAGCATTCCACTATCGAATAAAAACTTGAGTATTTTTGATAATCTGAAAACTTTGAAATACTACAGATAATTTTATAGGCTTCTTTACTATACAGTCTTTTGATTCCTATTGTATTTTCTTTTAGGGGGGGACTCAGTGGCGCTTGACTAATGATCCACATCCCCAGTTCTGTTTTATATTTTATTTAGAGACAGGTTCTCACTGAGTTGATTAGCACTTCGCTTTTTGGTGAGGCTGGCTTTGAACTCTCAATCCTCCTGCCTCAGTCTCCTGAGCCACTGAGATTACAGGAATGTGCCCCCAGACCAGCTCCAATAGTATTTTCTTAATCTTCTAGTTGTCTTAAGGTAACAAGTGGTATTTTGTTTGTCTCATTATTAGCATGGAAGAATTATTTTCAAACTTTGACTATAATTTGGGAAGCATGTCATACATACATATCAAGGCAGTCAAGAAATTAGGACATATATGTGGTGTAACAGTATTATAGAAAAATTTTGATTTAATCTGTCTTTTTAAAACTAACAAAAACTTCACTTCCAAATAATCTCATGTACTTGAATTTGTCATAGATGTTAAAATTTAATATAAAGCATTGGAATAAATAGAGAAGAGTTAAAAAGGTATGCCATTAATCAAACAATTATTTATTCAGTACATACTGAATTTGAGGGCGTGTGCTAAGGGCTTAGGTTACAAGAAAAAAATAATTTAATCTCTGCTCTATTTGAGTTTACATTTGGGGGAGATAGATGGGTAAACAGTAAGTGTTATGAAGAACAGATTGGGCTGTCTAAGTCAACCTGACAGAAGGGAGCTTTGGTAAATTTCTCATGAGGAGGAAGCTTAGTCTGAGTTTTGAAGGGTATAAAGAAGATATAAGCATTAAAGAGAATGGGAGCCATTACTGAGAATTGGATGAATGTTTCTTCATTAAGTCTGTTTTCATACTACTGTGGGATTATTACTCATGGTCTATATAGGTGATCTGAGGACTTTGGAGAAGTTAGGCAAAGTTCTGATGGAATTTTTTTTTTAAATTGTGGATTTATTTTTCCTTAAAGAATAATAGGGACTGGGAATCATTTAAAAAAATATAAAACAAAAATGCATCATTCTCTTTGATCATTATGGCATGGCTAAATGTGTGTTTTAAAAATGAGTGTCTACAAGTGTGATTGGGACTTAGAGAACAGGATGGATGAAGTGATTACTCCAGAGTGTAGAGTTGACATGAATAGGGAAAGTTGAGGGGAGGAATCAAAGGTAACCCATATGTTTTGCCTAGTGCAGCTTTGTGAGTTATGGAAGACAGAAAAAAAGAGGAGGAGCAAAATTTTGTAGTTGTGATGTTGATTGTTTTAGGTGAAGAGATCATAAATTGGGTTTTTAATTCTGTTTTGAATATGTTTATTTTAGGTACCAATGGAGTATCCAAATGTGGATGTCTAGTATTTAGTAGATTATGTGTTTATCATTTAGATAAATGATAGAGATTTGAAATTATTAAGTACATGGTGATGATTTATCACAAGGCATAAGATACCAAGAAAATGTGTGTGTGTGTGTGTGTGTGTGTGTGTGTGTGTGTGTGTGTATTTGGTTGTGAAAATGAATCACAAACTTTGAGGAATATCAATATTTAAAAGATGGGTAGAGAAAAAGTAAAATAGGGTTTGGAAAGTTCATTTGATTTAATATTATGGTTTATTTTATGAGTATTAAAGGCTGATTTTTCTGGAATAGCAAACTTAAAAGTCAAATAATTGTATTGAGAAGTGAATGGAAAGTGATGTTTAATATAGCATAATAATAGATTATTTTAGGCCAGGCTTGGTGGTGTATCCCTGTAATCCCAGTGGCATGGGATCATGGGTTCAAAGCCAGCCTCAGCAATGGCAAGGCACTAAGCAACTCGGTAAGACCTGTCTCTAAATAAAATACTGAATAGGCCTGGAGATGTGGCTCAGTGGTCAAGTGAGTGCCCTTGAGTTCAATCTCTGGTACCCCCCACAATCCCCCCCCAAAAAAACCCCCAATAGATTATTTTACATTTGAGAAAGCTTTGCTGTGAAGTAGAACAGAGGAAAGTGGTAAAGGTGTGGGGAAAGGGTTTTTTTTTTAATTCTTTTTATTCTAATTTGTTATATATGATAGCAGAATGCATTACAATTCATATTACACATATAGAGCACAAGTTTTCATATCTCTGGTTGTATACAAAGTATATTCACACCATTCGTGTCTTGATACATGCACTTTGAATAATGATGTCCATCTTGTTTCACCATCATTTCTAACCCCATGTCCTCTTCCTTTCTTTCCCTCCCCTTTGCCCTATCTAGAGTTCCTCTATTCCTCCCATACTCCCCCTCCCTCCCCACTATGAAGCAGCCTCCTTATATCAGATAAAACATTTGGCATTTGGTTTTTTGAGATTGGCTTTGCTTAGCATTATCTTCTCCAACTCTATCCATTTACCTAAAAATGCCAGTGTTTTTATTCACTTTTTTTGCTGAGTAATATTCCATTGTGCATATATACCACAATTTTTTTTTTATCCATACATCTGCTGAAGGGCGTCTAGGTTGCTTCCACAATTTAGCTATTGTGAATTGTGCTGCAGTAAACATTGATGTGGCTGTGCCCCTGAGGTTTGCTGTTCAACAACTATATGAAAAAGTGTTCATCATCTCTAGCAAGTAGAGAAATGCAAATCAAAAGTGCTCTAAGATTTCATCTCACTCCAGTCAGAATGGCAGCTATTAAGAATACAAACTACAATAAGAGTTGGCAAGGATGTAGGGAAAAAGGCACACTCATACGTTGCTGGTGGGACTGCAAATTGGTACAGCCAATATGGAAAGCAGTATGGAGATTCCTTGGAAAACTGGGAATGGAACCACCATTTGACCCAGCTATCCCTCTCATTGGTCTATATCCAAAGGGGAAAGGTTTTGTTGATGTATGTAAGAAAGTGATAGAGAGGAAATAGAGTATGTAATGGTACTGGAAAGAGATTCTATAAAATTGATAAAGGACCTGAATGAGATAGAAGGAATGGAATTGAATCATGAGAGAGATCACTGTTTGAAAAGAGGAGGCACAAAGGTATAAATGAAAATAAGATATTTTCCTTTTCATTTCTGCTGTTAAATCTTGAGACCCTTAAGACCATTTTCTCTTTATTGTATATTATATTTCATTTAACCCCAATTTCAATCACCATTTATATGTTAATGTTTAATATATTTGTAATACATTTCAATTCTCTGACCTACAGAATCAAAACTTTCAGGCTGGGGTTGTGGCTTAATGGTAGAGCGCTTGCCTAGCATGTGTGAGGCACCACATACTCCATGTACTTTCTTTGTCCCTTGAATTGGTGGGATCTCAAACTCATAATGTCCCATCTGAATCTCATCTAGTGAATTTTATCTCAGTAAGTGATAGAAGCAAATGTAGGAT